ATTGCATCTGCATGCCCGCACTATAAAATGTCTGACAGGTGTTTCTTGTGGTTTTATTGACTTGTAACATGTCATTAGTTGGAGAAGCAGGTGTTCACCTTGAGGGTACAGGCTCAAGGTTACATTGATTTCTTCACATACAGGAAGACAAAGTAAAATATGCATGCAACAACAGCAAAGGTTGCAAAAGTCATAGGTGTCACAAGGAATGGCAGCTGGAGAGAGTAGAAACTGTAGCCTGGGTACCATCCGGATTTTGGCTCCACAACACTCACTTGATTTTTTCAAGCGTTGGGGAGCCAAAATATGAATGGTACGCCAGCTATAGAAACTGGCCAAATAGATAACATGCCAGGGGAGCCACATGCAACATTAGGAGTACAGTTTGCTGCTCTAACCAATTCACCTGGAATATATATTTACTCTTTCCAGCTTTATGGTGATGTCCCAAATTTACGAAGTAAAAAATGACACGCAGACCTGAACATTTCAGTGCTGATTATTTATTGCCTTTGTGCACAAAAATAAGCTCCTAATTTAGAAGCAATCACATATACTATTTGGTGCTTTTGTTTACATGCCTACAATAGTATTTCTGCTAGTCACTTCGAGATAGTTCTTCATGACATCAACACCATCTCAGGTGGAATAAGTTGACTACTTGCTCTACACGTTCAAAGACCTATAGCATTACATGAACATTATTATTTACATGTACAATAGAATTTTTTAACACATTCTCAAGATATATGTAGGTGGCCACAATGGTAAGGGTGGGGGTGAAGATGCACAGCACAAAATTTATCAAATGTACATCTGAACTGACGTGAACATACTTGTATACAATTGTACAGCACTATATCATCTGACACAGGATGTAGCTGTGACAAAAAGCAATTTTTTTTTCATCACAGAGCCTGTGGTGGCCTGTAACGTTACATGAACACCAAACAACACCGAACCACTTGTAGAGGCAAACAGTTCGAGTTGTCAAACTTCAATGAGCTTTTTCACAATGATCTTGATTTCAAAAGTCTCAAATCCAGATATTCATTGTAACATCTTCCCCTACCTGTCACATAAGATATAGTTTATACTAGCAATTTCTACATTCTATCCCAGCGTATAGCAGTTACCACCTTAGCATCCAGCACTGTATGGCTACCAAGTCTAGGATCATAATGTTATATATTATATCAAAATAATGCACAAGCTTCCCCTATTAAACATATCTACATCTAGGATCAGGTAGGGCACAGTTGCTGAGATGAGACTTGACAAATCTGATTTTTATTTAACATCCTTTTTAGGTTGAAAAGAAATTAATTCCAATGCCAATTCGGCATTACAATGACTTACATCAAGGATTCTATCGTGAAATATCTAGATTTAAAGTACATCAAATTGGTTTGGCCTAACCTTTTGCCACATTTCTCAAGCTCAACATAGTACACAGAAATGTGCAGCCGCCAGTGCTGCACAGCCAAACTAACACTGAATGACACGTCAATCAGCTTATAATTATGCAGTCACATCCCTCAAGCCAGGTGACAGGTGTCCATCACAGCAAACCATATTACATCATCCTATAATTCAACCATGTGTGGCAATCCTGCCCCTCCCTCTTGTGTGATGGACTGATCCTGTATACCCTGCTGTCATTGGACCGTCAAGTTTTCTGCCACGAATATTCAACCATGATAAACAATTCTACTAGTAGTTATCATTTATATATGTAATCTCTATACAAAATAATTACTTCTCAACGGCTCACAGCTTCAACTAAACTTCCTCAAATAATGCTGCCAACCATGTTCAAAACAAGCAAAGGAATGAAAATTTAATGTTGCGTCCCAGTCACTTTACTGAATGCTTGGTGAGGGACGAACACTAGAAAACTGCCAGAAGTACCCTATTCTTTTATAAAGATGAAAAAACAAAAGAGTAGTGTAGTTAGTCACAGAGATAATTCCTGAAGCTTGATTTATATAGTTGGCAACACAAATGAACCACCAACAACCCTCTACATCTCTCTGAAAAAAATTTAAAAATAGCTCTCTGCTGTATAGACTTCTCAGATATGATTACAGTACATCTGATTTAATTAATCCCCTAAGGATATATTTATCGCCTTACCCTGTAAGCTTCTATCATCAAATCTACCATACCATACTTGCCAAGCTGTGATGTGCATGGCAGTGCAGTTTTAGATGTCACAGTTTTCATCAAATTTGTCTACACTGACTGTATATAACAATAACAACTTTGTTTGTACATACACACTTTACAAAGCTAAACCTCCAAGGCTTTACTCAAACCATCCAGGACTAAGATCAATACCAAATACATACATGGTCCACCTCTGTTTTTGGCTATGTTTTTATGCTTTATCTTTCCAATTTCTTTGACTACACTATTTTGTGGATGTTAAGTTATCCGTCAAAACGTGACAACACACATCAACTTAAGTACACCTCAGTCCACTACCTTCACAAGTTGACAAGCATACCTTGGACTAGTCGATGGATAATTTTGGCATTTCCGGGAGTAAAGGTGTGAATTTGTCTTCCTTGTTCTTCCCAGTACTGTCAATTAAAGCCAACCCTACATGCTATTATATATTTTTACTTAGATATGTCTTTCTAAGATAAATAGACATGAAAATGCACTAGAGTTATTCGTACATGAATACCTTTTTTAGGGAGAGAAATGCAATGTCCAGTCTACATCACAAACAAATATCACAGATTTTCTGTACAAACAATCCCGGATGACATGCTGTATGGAACATATGTTTGGCACTAACATTACCACAGTCTGGACCAATAAGCACTTTTCTGTGATTTATCAAACACACACAAATGACCAGGAAAGGAGCTGCCTGAATCATTCTTCTAAACCACACCTTACGAACTGAAATTACCCTGTAAACAAGCAAGAAACAAATACATTTATTTCACTATTTACTTTGAAAAACATTTATTTTAATCTTTTAATTTAACGTGTTGGTATGTGATTGACAACTTTCTAATCTGAAACAGAAACAAAGCTGGTGCTTCTCACATTAGTTGTGTCACTGTTAATTACCTACCCTCTTGTCAAATAAACACAGGAGACCTCTGAAAGATATATTTATATATATACTTCTCATCACTTTTGATGTTTCTTCACTACTATGGAATATTACTTTAGGTCGACTTAGAAAATGCATTCCTTTAACTTTTCAACTGATGTTTGTTGTCTCTTTTGGCGATAGATTCAAGTGTATCAGTAGCTATATCTATGGCTATTGTTTAGATGGCTTACAGTAGCTATATCTATGGCTATTCTTTAGATGGCTTCGAGTATAATCTGCATATTATTGAACTAGTCCATGCCAGGAGAATGAGAAGGTTTGGTCTTTCTTTCACCTCCATACACAGCAATGTTCCAAAAAACAAAAACACCAGTTAATAGGATAGCTCATAGACAGCTTCGTAACACATTCTTGTACACTTGACAAGGAGAGTGTGGGTAGAATGTGTAACCCCACTCCTCCTCCTACGCGAGTCTTACTGAGGTCACACGGTCACGCCGCGGTCGGAGTTGCCGTCTGCAGCCGGCTGGTCAGTCGGAGAACTCTGGCTCCCCTCGGAGCCACTCCCCTGCTCCGCTCCTCCGGCAGGTAATCTCTCTGTCATCTCTGCAGGAGAAAAGACCATCTTAGTAAGCATACATACAATGCCATGCGTTTCAAGTAGCATACACTACTGTCCAGTCACTGACGAAAGGAAGTAGATGCTACCTGAAAGGTCTAACCATTTTAAAATTCTATCCAGTTGCTGGAGCAATTTTCACTTTGGTATCTTGTTACCTGGTTTCCTAACCTTATTTTTGGAAAGATATTAATATGATATAAATATTACTATACCATATCTCATTTACATATCATGTTCAATGTTTTTCCAGTTGCTCAGATATCAGTGTTGACTAGTTCTGTTAGTGAGTTAGACAGTTTGCTGACCTGTGCCAGTTTCAGACATCCCCGCGGCAGGAGGCTGCTCGTCGTCCGTCTCCGTACTCTGCGGCGCGGGCTGGTCCTCCTGCGTGGACGGCGGGTTGGGCGGCGGCAGCGCCACGGTGACGATGTTGTTCCAGGCGGAGTCCTGGTCCACTGACTCGTCCTCCGTGTCATTCCCCAGGAAGGAACCGTTGGTGGTGGTCGCCTCCACGTCGATGTTCAGGCTCTCTGTGCTGCTGGGGACCTAGGACGACACACAGACAACTTTCAGTATAAAGTACACAGAACCAGTGTTCCAGCCGGCATTTGCCATTCTGTCATTTGACACATTTTGCCCCATCTGTCATCTTCTACAGACAAAAATTTGCATGGAAAGATATGTCAATAATCCAAACTTAGTCTACTATCAAAATTTGTCCCTCAAAATGTAGGAAATAGTGTTTCTGAGGGTCAAGATTTCAAAATTTTTACTGATGAAAGGTAGTGGATGCTTGCTGAAACATCTGTTTTCAGAATCTACAAATAGGTAAATAAATCAGGTAAAAAATATGATGTTACAGACATAGACATATCACTCCAGAAAATGGACAAAATGGTGCTAAACGATTCAATACAGGTCAAATTTCTGGTGCATACAGAAGCAGATGTATGTGTATATGTCTGGGGTTTGAGTAATGTCTCAAGGGCACATAATGAATGGGGGCACCAAGTGATGTGTTCACTATCCATATGGTTTTCCTACTGCACAATCGTTTCCCATTTTTTTGAAAGACTTGGTCTGTAATACTGCCAGGGAAGAGATGTCAGGATTGTATGTCATCCTTGCTGTGAGTCAGAAAAGTTAAACTTAAAGCTACATTGTGTAATATTTTGGCACATAAAATTGAAATACTTTTTTTATAGCAGTATACTATGGCGTAGGCTTGATTTGAGTTTGTGAAGAAATCACCAGGACTTTATTGTCCTTATGTTACAAAGTGTAGCTTTACAAGCATGTAAATGTGTACGTACCAGATAACCCAGGGCCTTCAGTATGTTTAGCTTACACATGGGGCAAGTTCTGTGCTCGATCAGCCAGGGGTCCACACACAGCTTGTGGAATATATGCCTGCAAAATACATACAAAAAATCTATAACTATCCACTGTAGGAAGTGATAGAAGGCACAAACCAAAGGGTAAATGTACATGAATTTTGTCAACTATCGGTGGAACAGCACTAATTGGAAAGTACATGTCTGGAAGTAATCTTCGTAATTTATCCAGTAGTAGGGTTTGAATTGTCTTGAAATATTGTTTAACTGGATGTCTTCGTCAATGTATCAGCACAAGTTGTCTTGCTCCAGATCATTAAGATTGCCTTATGGACTGAATACTGTATTTCAAATTCAATATTTTACCCATAGCATGGTATCAACAATACCTATTGGTGATTAGAGAAGAAAAGTTCATACTGACATCAATTTAACCGATAAGTCTGAAACCATCAACTATCATTTATTTGCCACTTTCCAAAGAGGCCAGCTTATACAGGAAACGAAATGTTATATCCGGTCAGGAGTCAAATAAAAGCTGACATGTCAAAACAAAATCATTGTCCATAACTCAAATCAAAAAATTTTACAGGTCATTGAACTTTTCATGTATATGACATCCTGTTTGTGTTGTAAGACGGGGTCGCCCACTCACTTGCAGGGGAGAACCCGCACCACATCAGAAGGCTGGTAGTTATCGATGCACACGGCACAGCTGTCATGCTCCCACTCCACCTCCTGGGGAATATATAGGATCTAACATGAGAGAATCTCAAATATTGGATATTGGAGTTTTCTTTACTCCAATATCCTATGTTCTTTACTCCAATATCCTATGTTCTTTACTCCAATATCCTACTGCCAACCTGACGAAATCATTTTTTGAAATCCCCACTATCATTTTTTACCTTTATTGTTTTTGGTCTGTTTGTGTGTGTCTGTCTGTCTGTGTGTGTGTGTCTCTCTGCGTTTCATGAATGGATTGTAATAATGTTTGGTATGTAGATCTTGGGAAAACGTAGGTCAACATCAAATGTGGGTCTCCTGGCAACTGTCCTTGGTACTGCAGCAGAATAACAAAATTTACAAAAGCTCTAAAGGTATGGGTTTTCCATACCCTTTAACACCTGCAATTTCTACCGTAAGGTAAAAATGAATGCAACATCATCTACTAAGAACATTTACTGTACAGAAAAATTGTCGTGGGATCGAAGAGTGGGCGTAAGATAAAGGGAACGATCATACGTCTTTCATCTACGTCAATTCAAATCTTCAAAGGAAAAACAGCCTTGAGATGAATGAGACAGCTTTCACATCAAAAGGTCCACATTTTCTTCCTGTTTGAATGAGGTATTATGTGCAAATGTCTGACGTAGCAGATTTCATTTTCATTTTGGGTCTATTCTGTTTGATCCCCTTCACATAATTGGAATGATATTCTCTGGCATCATCCATACTTATCTTAGTCATTGTAGTTTCGTAAGAATTACTGTTTAACAGGACATCTGATAAAGGTGTATCACACATATACCCGTATCACACATATACCCAAGCAAACTGACATCATGTGAGTCTGAAAGTCAATATGAAGTTGAAATGAAAGTTGCTATATAGTATATATCTGTGATTAAATAAAAAATAATAACTGTGAATCATGAAGTTGATGTTTTGAGGACAGTCTGTAATCTTCATTGGGGGATTAATCCTAATAGAATTATATCTACTACCCTGATGAAGATGACAGGCGGTCACTGAAATGTCAGCTCTTGTTAAACATGTGGGTGTGAATAAAGAACCTCAGTAGGTTGTAGAGGATTTGCTTTTTATCTTTATCTTCAGATCTACCACAAGCACTCAGCATTTTTTAGAATTCATTGTTCAGACTAAAAGAATTTTCCTGCTCTACTTTAGAAAATGAAGAGCCAATTGAGATATATCCACCCACATCATTCAAAGTACGCACAAATGTTCCTGCCTACGTCAGCAACAAGTGTATGTCAAGTGCTGAGACGAGGTGACATGTCACGCTGTTAGAATTGGATTACGTGTAAAATCTCATGCCTCGCGTGATCGTAATTCGTATATCGTTAAAGTAAAAGAGGATCGTGTGGAGGATTACTGGGAGCAGCTGTGAGGGTGTTTTGAAGGCCAGGACATGACGCACACAGTACCGCAGTAATGCTTCTCACACCCTTTCATTCAAGAGAACCTTCCAACAAACCCTGCTTTTAAAAGCAATCCAATCCATCTGCTACAGTCTGGCTTCTTTTTATCATCTCTCCATATTAACACCTACAGTATACGAGATTTTCAAGGAAATGGGATAAACAACTATACTAAATGTGAGGTAGTCTAAGGACACAGAATCACATTTTTTGGCAATCTGTGCACAGGTGTATGTGTAATACTAATAGTAAGATACAACATATTTTGTCACACTGTTGAACAACTCTGTATAGTAAAATATCTGTACAGTCCTTTTGTGCCTACAGGTTGTATTTAGTGTCCTTGTATTTAGTGTCATTGTATATACCTTACTAGTTCTTAAAAGAAAATAAGCTAGGGTTTTAAATAGTTGCGGCATGATGATTTTAATAAGTAATATGTAATATGTGCACGCAATTCAGCCTGTGGCTGCGATGTGAAACATACCAATTGTACTGTTTATTGTATTTGTGAAATAAACCAATATATTATAAAATAATCTGCTTAATTTTTTGCCATAGGAGTTAAGATAAGACTAATCAGCTTAAGATAAAAATGAGAAACATACCAAAGTAATTTTCTTCTTTTTCCTCAATTCATGTACCTTTGTGTTTCCAGTAACATTCAAAATATATCTTTGAACCATTTTTATGTATGCCATATATATATATATATATGCATGTATCAAACATGTGTACATGTAACAAAATAAGACAAAAATAAGCTGCTTAAATTTTCAGGCTTAATATTTTGAGCAGGAAGTTGCTCAGTGCTTTATGAAAAAGGTTTTGTGCCAATCTTGTTGTGTTATTCTGGGCCTGCCAAACTAATGTGATTTCAACATGTGAGCCTGGAGGTAATTTGAGTCCTTGACACTCCTATGCATATCCAACGTTTGCACATGTAGTAAACACTTCACATCCACCAAAACCCATGTCTGATCTCACTCACGTGTCTGTAGTGTCCTACTTAGCTGTGTATCAAGGGTACAAATAAGGCAATCTACTGGAGTTTGATAATAATCCCTAATGATCAGTTGTATCTAATTGCCTGCTCCATTTTTTCTGGAACAGCCTTCACATTGCAGACTGCAGACTAATCAGTTCAGATAGAAATAAGATACATGAAAGTGGTTTTCTTTTTTTTTTCTTAATTCAGCTATCTTTGTGTTCCTAACAACACACAAAACCTACAAAAGTACATAGCAATAGTAGAATTTATGGATTGAATACAAATATCAAACACACAACAGTAAGATACAAAATAAGATATTCATATTAGGTGAAAATTCCTGTAACATGTAAGATTTTCTCCTGTTTTGTCTTCCAACATTACAAGGCTTGTTAACAATGCAAGTGTGCACAAAACAAAGCTGCATTTTTCTTCCATGATCTGAAACCGTTTGCACAATATCAAACTGATGCTCTCACCTTGTCCCCTTTCCGTATTGTCTTCACTGGGATTTTTGTGATCGCCTTCTTGGCCACAATCGCAAAACGCCGCTGAAAAATACACACAAATGGTGATCAATAAAGAATTGCTGGCCTCAAAGCTCAATAAAATCTTACTGATATAGTTAGTCACCATAAGGTACTTAGGGTGAAGTAGGCATTATATCCTAGGAGAATGCACAATGGTAATTCCTAGATGGGTTCTTCATACAGTGTGTGGTCACAGGGTTGGAAATACCACATGCATATGCAGTTAAAGTGCAGGTAAAATTGGGGCTGTGCAAGTATTTCTGATGTCTACCTGCACCTAACCTGCTATGGTCCAAGTACTGGGTAAATATATACATGTAGGTGTATGTCAATTTTTATTTGCTGCATTGAATGTTACATCTACTTTGGAAATGATAGCAAATGGTTTCTGTATGATCCACACTTCCTAAATTCTGAGTAGTGCAGGTAAAATTGGTCTGGTGGAGGTAAAATTTGTCTAGTGTAGGTCATTTTCAATGTAACCTGCATCAGACCAGGCATGTAGAAAAAAGTATTTTGAGCCCTGGTCCTGTCCCAATACCTGTCCAATGTTGGCATAGTGATTAGTTGATTTCCTTTGGGAAAATTTGACGACCTCTGTCTTTGAAGCCAGTGCCAAGTCTGACTACATGCTGGCCATGACTGGTGGTTTATATGTGCTTTAAATGTGCAAGGCAACCATTTGATGTCTTTAAATTTGGAAGGCAACCTCTGTCTAGTACATGCAACAGAATACAGAGTTTGAAATACTGAGTTTTTTTTATTCCTACTACCAAACTAAAATACTGAAAAATATTTTCTCTTAGGAGTGTTATGCTCAGCTGCATTTGAGAGCTAAAGGCACAGAAAAATCTAAAAGCAAACTATGAAAAATCTGGCCATTTGATCTGGCCATTTTAATCACAAACAGAATTCACATTACCAATGTCCATGTCAAAAATATATCTTTCTAATTATGCCATTGACAAAACCAGAAACCAATCATTTTACGCCTCATAAAAACATGGTGCTATTTCATATTTGCAGTCTGGTTGCTTTATTAAATCGTTATCATTAATCATCATCAGTATTTTGGCCAAACTAGTGAGGGCATCCCTTGAAAACAGGCCAAAACAAGACTGTCTGATCCAGGCTCTATGGGACAAACCTAGTAGTTGCTTGACCATACGAACGTCTCATAAAACATTAACTAAATGCCAAATAGTAAATTCTGATACTTGACACGCATCAATACAACTGTGACAAAAGAAATTTTACTGAGGAGACAATTTCACGCTCATAAAAATGGGCTTTCAAGGACATCGTATCATTTACGGTGCACCAATGATACCAATAACCCACAGAGCAGTATATTCATAGGCAATAGACAGGATTTTTGTACACTTTAGACTCAAATATCTAATACAGCAAAAAGGTCACCCACAAGATTTGAGATATCACATTTAAGCATATATACATACTGTAATGCCCCATCTTCCTTCATGGTTTACAAAATAGTCAATATTTAAATGTACTGTGTGTTTACCATTATTAACACACAATGCGGAATTGTTTAATACCACAAACAATCCTCTTTCTTTCCACATAGTTGATTTCCAATCACTTTCATTATCTTAATGGTCTATTTTCCAAGACCTCATTTGCATTTAATCACTTTGCACGAGACATCGTTCAATTATAGGTCATTGAATGTTAGACAACGAGCTAATGAGATACATGAGAAAACTGCTACTGATACAATTTGAAAACTGTCAGATGTTTCAGGTAGCATCCGCTTCTTTTTGTAGCATCATCCACTACTTTTTGACAGTTTTCGAAATCCATCCAGTTGCTTGAGAAACAGTTTCCCTGTGTATCTTTCAATTGCATTTGGATAAACTGGCAAGCATTATGCAGAAATGACAGGAGCTCCCAGACACCACGCCGAGACGTGCACTTATTTCCATTAACCTCCAACCCTTTGCAATTACTCGCCAGTCGCCTTCAATACCAGCCATAAATATTCAAATGATCGAGGCCAGTTATTTTGTGTTTGTCTGACGCAGTGGCCAAACATGAATATCATCAGCAAGATTGTCTGACAGCTATGGTTAGGCTTGGAGGCACAATATAGGTTTTGGTTAAAACCGTGCACACACGTGTCAAATCCTTGACATTCTTCCATTTCCAACCATATGGCAGGTAGAAAAACAGAAATCAGGCCATCCAATAAGTATATTGATTTGTTGCCTATATCCATTTGGCAGAAAGACAAGAATGTGAGCTGAACTACATGTATATTCTGCTAGATTTTTCATCACATGATGATCGGTTTCTTGGTCCATACTTTCCCAACATGTATGGTTGAATTACAGTGTCTGTACGTTGTTAAAATATTCATCTGCTTCTTTGTGTTACATTTTTTTTCAGGAGCTACTGATGCCATACATGTACCTGAAATATACATAAAAGCAAAAAGTCACCAGTTCTCCACATCTTATCTCCCAAGATAGCATCTTATAAACAGCCTAATTGGTTCCACACAATGTGAGCTGAATCCTCTTGAAAATAATTGCCTATAGAAATGCCCATCATACACACCACCTGTGGACCTGGGGCAATTAGCATGTGCTTACTTCACATCTCCAGAGGATGACATTAAAAAATATGATAAGAAGACTTTGTACTATTAATATAGGCAGCTGTCACATGTAGAGCTGTGTACCTAAACAAATTTTAGGTACAGGTACAGGTACAGGTACACAGGTTTAGGTACAGGTCCGGACCTGAACCTGTACCTGAACAATTCGACCAATTTATATGGTCTTCTGAACTCCTTCAATAACAAAAAAACATAAATAAACTTGATAGTTAAGGTTTATTCTTTGTTTATGGCGAATGCTCAGATAAAATATAGGCAAAACTAAGTGTTTTGTTTTCATGAACACGCTGTCCTTACACAGGGACCCATTGTTAACCACCTTTATACACATTTGAGGTCACAAATAGGCATAAAATTGGTGTGAAATTGTTTAGGTACAGTACCGGTACTGAGGGAGTAGGTATTTTGGACCTGTACCTAATCAATTTTTCCGGTACAGTATCGGTACTGCGTACCGGTACACAGCTCTAGTCACATGTAACATCCGCACTTTCCCAACAGTAGTTTAACACCTGCTGTGCTAATTCAGAGCTAGAAATACCTTTTTCTACATAACAGTGCTGGTGCAGGTAACATTGAAAATTACCTGCACCAGACCAATTTTTCCTGTACCACTCAGAATGTAGGATCATACTGAAAACTGTTCAGAAACTATTGACATTAATATTGTTTATCTCATATTTCACATTTCATACACTTACAGTTAATGCAAGCATTATTATGAAAACCCACATATAACTACATGTATATACTAACCTGTACACATGGACCAGTGCAGGTTAGGTGC